ACAGTATAAGAGATTTTTCATTGAGTTGAAGTTCCATTTGTTGATGAATTTTTAAATTTGTGCATTTCTTACACGCATCTGTGCATTTCCAATTTCGCGCATGAGTCACACCATGAATACATCATTTTGTTGACAAATTGCTTTACTTGCACAAATATATGAGTAAGATGTCTACGAGTTATGAACATGAAACTGGAAAATGGAACCAAGGTGAAGCCAAATGGCCGCCGGAAAATGAAAAGTGTTTTGTGTACATTATGCTTGAGGAGGTGCTTAAAGGAAACTGCGTTGCCGGCAAGCTCTCCACACAACAGTGGGTGCAAATGACGGAAAATCTGAACAACACTTGCCCCATAAAATATCACTACAACAAAGACCAGGTGGAAAGTAAGTACAGGCGGCTTAAAACAAATTAGACGAGGTTTTACAACTTGCGTACACATGCAACGGGTTTCGATTGGGATGAAGCGCGCGGTAAGATCACTGGCGATGAAGAAACTTGGAAAATTTGGACAGATGTAAGTGTGTGTTAGATTATCGAATTTCTGTTCTTTTTAACATGACATGTTTGCTTTTTACTGCAAAATATTTTATGTCCAATATACGACTTGCATCCCAGGATATAATATGGTGTTAGAATGCTTCTAATAAATTATTGCCCTAGTTTGACAGTTATTGTGAAGCAAGGTGAATATTGTTTCTGTTGTTGGTGATATGTCGTTATTTCTTACGACTTCCATGTATTATTACTAGTTTTGTTGTTCGGGTTAGGATTGGGTCAAATAAAGGGATGTAGGTTTGTTGAAATGCACCCATGACTTGCATTTTGTCATTACTGGCAGAACAGGAAAACTTCATTTCATTATCGGATTTATATGATATTTTTGTGTCTGTTCGGGTTTGGGCAGTGTACACTTATTTGGATGCATAATGCATGCTTTCAATATCATTTTGTCAGTACTGGCTGTACATAATTTTGTAATTATGCAGATCTACCATCAGGATCGAGATCTACATCGGAAGTCTTGCCTACACTACGAATAATTGACTGCCATTTTTTTTGGTTCGACCGCAACTGGAAAATATGCTTGGG